GTACTTTCTTTTCGTCAGAGTTTCGGCGGCGCTTACTCGTTGTTCTCCGTGTACAAATTGCGGAGGGATGCATGAGTATATCCTTCCCACTATACTGTACTCGGAGAACGAATTGGGATCCTCTCCTAATGAATCCTCTTCTAATACCTACTAATAAGAAGATCTTGGCCTTTGATTTATCAATCAAAGGCCAATATCTAGGCCTTATCTCCCGCCTACTTTTGTGCATGAGGAGATCTTGGCCTTTGATTGATAAATCAAAGGCCAAGATCTCATTAGGAGATATTAGCGATTAAGTACAGCGGGTAGGTGCTGTCGAAATTTTGACGAAATAAAAGTACACTTGAACACACGTAAATACATATACACGCTACGTTTACATACCTAATGGGATAGAAGCCTTCCTCTGACAGCCGATCACACACACTTGTCCTATATCTGGAAAATGATATATGTAGGGATATGCTCACTTCCATTAATTTTTAAATTCTAGATGCGGACAATTCCTGACAAATCGTTCATGGGCATACCACGTGATCGAAGGCATCTAGACACTCGATACAAGGATGGGATAGAAGCTTTCTTAGCCTACTCTGACACCAACCCTCTACGGTCACTCAGCGGGTTGATTTTTTGTCCTTGTAAGAATTGTAGGAATGATAAAATGCTCACTAGGAGTGACGTAAGTTTCCATCTGTCAATCAATGGATTTGATAGCTCTTATGTATTTTGGAGTCATCACGGTGAAGGCGTCCCGGTGATGCAATTAGAGGAAGAGTTTACTGATGTCGACAATCCGACAATTGACACAACTGATATGTTGGAAGATATTCTTACCGTGCCGTCTTCGAGTGATGTTAACACTACTGATATGTTTCAAGATGTAGCCCGATTGATGAGACTTGTTGAAGAAAACGAGTCACCGTTATACGAGGGTTGCACCGAGTTCACAAGGCTTTCTTTTATGCTGAGGCTTCTTCATATCCAAACACTCAGTGGGATGGCTGTTACACATTTCGAGATGTTATTAGACTTGCTCAGGAAAGTCATTCCAGGCGGCGAGAAGAGCATCCCCACAACTTATTATGAAGCTCACAAGATTGTTGATACCCTGGGTCTTGATTACAAAAAGATAGACGCCTGTCCTAATGACTGCATCTTGTACAATAAGGGTAATGAAGGTCTAGAGGAATGTCCGACGTGTCATGTATCACGCTGGAAAAAACATACGGGCACATCTGAAGGCATATCATCCAATAAACAGAGCAGAATCCCTGTGAAGGTTCTCCGATATTTTCCAATTATTCCTAGGCTGCAGAGGTTTTATATGTCTGCCGAGCTGGCTGAGAATATGCGATGGCATTCGACCGATCGTAAAGAGGACGGGAAATTGAGACATCCTGCTGATGGTGAGGCATGGAAGCACATCGATCGTATATACCCTGACTTTGGTAAGGAGTCTCGGAATATTAGGCTGGGGCTTGCTAGCGACGGATTTAATCCGTTTGGAGTAATGAGCTCTGCTTGGTCTACCTGGCCAGTGTTGCTGACACCGTACAACATGCCCCCGTCGATGTGCATGAAGCAACCGTACATGATACTGTCACTTTTGATCCCTGGAAGATATTCTCCTGGAAATGACATCGATGTTTTCCTCCAACCATTAATTGACGACCTGAAGCTTCTCTGGGAAAAAGGTGTCAGCACTTATGATGCTTATGGTAAGGAGTCTTTCTGTATGCGGGCAATGGTCATGTGGACAATTAATGACTTCCCGGCATACGCTAACCTGTCTGGATGGTCGACGAAGGGTCAGATTGCTTGTCCGGTTTGCATGTCAGATTATGAGGGAAAGTTCCTGAAATACAGCCGCAAGTTCTGTTATTGGCAACACAGAAGATGGTTACCTACAGGGCACAAGTTCAGAAAGTTAGTAGGAAAGTTCGACGGCAATCCAGAAAACAGACCGGCACCACCAAGGCTGACCGGGGAAGAAATATTTGAGCTTCTACATCCTCTACCTAAAAAAATATTTGGAAAGAAAAGATTCAACAAAGAAAATCCATTTGGGGTTAGGAGAAAAATATTGAAGCAAAATTGGAAGGGAAGGGGAAAGGGTAAGCAAACAAGGATGAGAAATAAACCTCGCACTGTCCAATCGCATGTGCGTGTCTCTAAGGGTACTGAACTTCCGCATGGATGGTCAAAATTCAGCATATTTTATCAATTGCCATATTGGAGAAGTTTAAAAATACGTCACAACTTGGATGTCATGCACATCGAGAAGAACATATGCGAGAATCTCTTGAACACTTTGTTGCAGGACGGGAAAAAAATCAAAAGATGACTTAAGGGCACGTCGAGACCTAGCAGAATTGAACATCCGTCCCGAACTGCAAGCTATAGATAAGGGTGACGGAAAGTTTGTACTCCCAGCCTCCCGTGTCACACTGTCGAAGGATGAGATCCATAATATGTGTTTATTTCTAAAGTCCGTGAAGACACCGGATGGTTATGCTTCAAACATTTCAGCAAATGTGCATATTGAGGACAGGAAAATTTTGGGACTCAAGACACATGACCATCATATTCTATTGCATCAACTTCTCCCGGTTGCGTTGCGACATGCTGAGAAGGAACTCGCGATGGTGGTAATAGAATATTGCGGTTTCTTCAAGCAGTTGTGCTCCAAGGTGATTGATGTCAGGGAGTTTGAAGAATTAGAGGGACGTGTAGCCAATACACTGTGTAAAATGGAAATTCTATTTCCACCCTCGTTCTTTACGGTCATGGTGCATCTCACAATACATTTAGCATATGAAGCCCGCATCGCAGGACCAGTTCAATATCGCTGGATGTACCCTGTGGAGAGGTATTTATTATTATAATGCTCAATTAATATTTGTTAAATTACGTATATCAGTTTTATTTTGTCACAAATCATGAAACTATATGCTTGTAGGTATTTGGGTTTCATGAAACATTTGATGCATAATCGTGCACGTCCTGAAGGATCGATAGCAGAGAACTATATAAGTAATGAGAGTTTGAATTTCATCTCTCGTTACTTGCGGGGTGTGGAGACAAGGCTCAACCGTCCCCAACGAATAATTGACGGAACATTCTATAATGATCGTGGGGAGGACACTAGATTCCCCAGAATGGAGCTAGATCAAGCCCACACATATATCTTGAGCAATGATACTACATTTAACATATACGCGACGTAAGTATTTAACTGTTTGAATCAGATCATATCACATCACAATAACTATCTCTATTTAACTGTTGTAAATGATTTTATTCTAGGCTTCACATCCGATATGTCCAGACTATTCTTAAATGCAGAACAAAAAACAAAAGAGTTATGGACACACACTCTAGACAATTCCCTGCATGGCTGAAGGGTGAAGTAAGATTTATTTACATTTCTGATTCGTATATCAAATATGTGCCTGCCAACAGATATTTAAACTATTTGTTTCTTTTCTTAAAGGTTGACCGACGTATTACGAATGGGGTTAACCTGCCTGAGAAAATATGTTTATATGCCAGAGGTCCTTCTAACGTGGTTAAGCGTTATGGAGGCTACTGTATCAACGGCTTTAGGTTTAACACCATCGGTTTCGAAGAGAGACGACAAACGCAAAATAGCGGTGTGTTCTGCTCCTTCTCGCAACTGTCATACGCTAGTTCAAAAGATCTAAATCCGATACA